AAGGAGGTAGAGCTTTTTCGCATTTGGCTCCCAAACTCTGGAATAGCCTTCCTGATAACGTTCGGGGTTCAGACACACTCTCTCTGTTTAAATCTAGATTAAAGACACATCTCTTTGGCCAAGCATTCAAATAATGCATATCATAATCTTGTACTGCAGTTATATCTGATCAAATGCACATTATTATTCTTTAGCTTGGGTTAAACAAATAAATTTTACTTGGTTGGAACAGCAGCTATGCTAATTATGTCTCTATTTGTTTCTCTGTTTCTGCCACGGGATTGATATGATACTGGTGAAAGTCAACCAAAATATTTTCACGCAGTGGATAGTCTAGATTTATGCTTTCAGTTCTAATATAAATCTTATACAGTATTACAGTTTGTCGATCTAAAATGGTAATTGTACATTACCATGTCGGTGGTCGGTACGCAAATGAGCGCTCGTGCATGCGCACCTGCGTACCACTTACGTGCACCCCTGATTATAAACGTACCCTTTCAAAAACATTGGTGTCGGAGGACAAAGTCGTCAAAAATCCCTTGATTTTTTTAAAACTGATCTCACATAAACTATCTTAGCTTTGATAGACGCTTGAGAATGCATTGAATTTAAAAACCGGGTCGATCGCCGTTGTGTGTTTTCTTCTTCTTCTTCTTTTGTGAATTCAAATTTCCCACGGTGCCAAAGCATGAAAGAGCACCACAAGAGCGCTAGCGGTCGAAAGTATATTGCATCTATAGTGGTTTAGCACTACCATTGAGAATGAATGGGAAACGGTTTAGGGCCGTTTAGCTAAAGAATCCCCGGCTACCGCACGGAAGACCCGGGTCCGATTCCCGGCCAATGGAAGAACAGCCTGCTTTTAAGTAAGGTGTGTGTGGTTCTTATTTGAGGGAGCTCCAGCTGCATTTACAACCTTGCGAATCTCATTGAGGCAGTCAAGCATATTCGGTATATAACATATACATATCTAAACTTAGCCAAGAAAAAAATTGTTTTTCAGGGTGCTGCATTTTACAAATAATTAATGGAAGCACTTTAGACAATGCTTTTTCATGCATGTTCAATGAATTACATGCAATAACTGCTCATGCATCTCTGAAGAGTTCCTGAAGGCAATAACACTTTACAGGCGGCAGGCAAGAAAGGTCAGGGTTAAAACAACTAATGACAGTAAACTGACCTGTCTGTTGTCTCTGAAAAACACCAGAAGAAATATGTCCAGGGTTACGGCTGACCTGCATGAAAGTGGGATGAACTGCAATGTCAGTAATGTAAGATCCCTAAGACAGCGCTACAGGGGCACAGATGGACCGCTGATCGTCATGGCAGTGTCAAACAGCATGTAACCCTGTGTCCCCCCCACCCCAGATGTGTTTGAGAACATGCAAATGCCTTGGTGGAAGAGCGGGGTAACATCTCCCAGCAATAACTGACAAATCTGGTGCTGTCCAGGAAGATGAGATGCACTGTAGTTCTTAAGGGAGCTGGTGGCTACAGAAGATAACGACTCTGACTTTTGATATTGACTTCCCCCCTTCTCCCCTTTGTTCTTAGACTCATTAGTCCATTTCTTTTCATCAAATGCCTATGGAACTTTTCAGTTTATCTCTTAGACTTGCGCATCTCCAGTCAAGCATTGGTGGTTCAGTGGCAGAATTCTCACCTGCCAAGCGGAAGACCTGGGTCTGATTCCCGGCCAATGCAAAAACAGCCTCCTTTTAAGTAACGTGTGTGGTTCTTATTTGAGGGAGCTCCAGCTGCATTTCCAACCTTGCGAGTCTCATTGAGGCAGTCAAGCATATTCGATATATATGTAGCGAATCAGCTCAAAGGGGAAATAGGAATAATTAATCATAACTAGTTATAATTAATTATAAATATTTAGATCCGCTGTAAGTATTTACTTGACCTCTCAGGGTCAACTGTCTGTCAATTCTAAGAACGTTAATTTCGTTAAAGGGAAATAACTTTCTTACTGTAAAATACTACACAGAGCATGTAGCATAAATCTGCATGATTAGGGACTCCAGTTATGAGCAAACAATGAACAACATCAAGTGTGATACAAGTAAGTCTTTACGTCAAGTGTGATAGAAGTAAGACTTTATTAACTACATAAACACTTAAACTAGTCTAACATACACATACACATACACACACACACACACACACACACACACACAGTTGGTATAGGAACAGGATTAAAACTTAGGCAGTAAAGAGAAAAGAAATAAAGCTTGAAGCTATGGGACCATTGGATGCTCAGCAGATCTACAGCCTGAAGGAAACATCAGCTTCTTAGTTCAAACACACCTTTGTAAAAAGGTGCAAATGATACTTAATGTATCAATTAATGAGACTAAGTTTGATACCTGCACGTCTTGTCTGTCTGACAGAGAGTCCTGATGCAATCTGAAGGCTCAAGTTGATCTTTGCTGAAGTTGGTTAATGAAAAAGAACCAGTTTGCGTCAGAGAATCTTGATGAATGGAAAAGTCAAGGCCGAAGCCTGGCACGTACTTAAGGTGTCCTGGAGCGTTTGCTCACATCTTCCATCTTCTCAGAATTCAACCAAAACCACCGACTCTGGGCGGGTCACATG